AGAAACTTTATGGGGATACACATGAGTTTAGGGATAAAACACACTACCAGGATGTTTAGACCAGCTAACAGAGATGCTTTTCTATCTCTGAAACCTGTGATGCAGAATGAGCTGTCCTGTGCTTTCTGCATGGTAAGCATGGGACCTTTCCCTGCATTTCCTTTCCATTCTGCAGAACTTAATGGGAAGTTGTTTTCCTGGTACAGAATTTTTGAACATAGCCTAGAAAGTTCTGAAATATATATTATTCACTCTTGTATTACAAATTTTGTAATTTAAGAGTTCTTTCCATAAACTCCATTGCATTTCCAGAGTGTTCCATTGGTTTTACTCCTGTTAAATTCCAAAATGTCTTTTCTATAAGAGTTATGCAACAGAGCAGGAATTTTTTTTCCACAGCTGCCAATTTATTTCTCAAGTTCATTTTCAAACTGGGATGAATCTATAGCCATGAACTTCCACAAAGAGCCAGGTTAAGATTTGTCTTTGGGTAGCTAATGTAGTTAGACATTTTTGAGAAACAGGAATGAGAAGTGGTCATTATCCATTATCTGCATGAAATATTTCAGAGAAAGAAACAGTTTCTGCCAAACACAAAAAGATGTTTGAGCTGAAGCCAGACAAGAAGGAAACAAGATCACCTTATAGCACTGCGGGATTGCTTTACTAATGATGTTATTTCAAGTAGAACTGGAATATATATATGAAGAAGTGCAGATGGTGCATGGGTTTTACACGGATTAGCAGTGTTGTTCTGGACAATGATTCACTGTCCCTTTTCTTGGCAGGAAATAAATTTTCCAGTCTTGGAAAGAAACATGTATGTATATATTTTAAGAAATGTTTCTCTATGTGGAAAAAGAGCAAATTTGAGTGAAAATAGCATCCACTGGTGGAAAAGTTAACAGTCAGAGTGAACACTTTAAAAAAAAAGATGTGTTCACACTCTACAATTCAAGGTCAGAAGTGATGTACAGTGTGGTGTAAATTACAGGTTAGGCAGGGGTGTGAGGGCCTGAAAGTCAATGCCAGGTTCAGCATCACCTGGAGCTTGGCTCAGCACCTTCTGCATGGCAGGGTCAAGGCTTCAACATGCATGTGCATGGTGTTAGACTCATACATTCAAAGAAGAGTTTTTTCAGCTGTGTTAGCTGGGCCTGCTTCCTTCTAGTTACTCTGCAGAAATGTGCTATAAATACCTAAGGAAATGTTATCTTTTGAAGAATAGTCAGCTGTTCATTGCAACCCTTGTCCTATAGAAGCAGGTTTCTGAAGTTACCATGAATCCAATCAAAAAGGCATAGAGGAAAACTTTTAGAAGTTAAAACAGTTTAGAATTGTATTTATGATTATTATCCGTATGACAGTATCATCCCTCCTGATGTCATGATTTTGACATATACTGTCTTAGTCTCAATCAGCACTAAACCCAAATTTCCATTTAGGAAGCCAGAACTTGCTTCCGTTCAGTGCTCAGAAGCTTCTGGGTTTTGTCCAGTCCTTAAGATGACAGTGAAATTTTAGTCCCCCACTTCTTCAGGACTGCACATTGGCCATATTGCATCTCTGCCTGTGCCTGTTTCATTTCGGTGGGAACAATTCTCATCTGGGTGAAGGAGGAAGCATGAGTTTGGATTTCTTTAATTCTATTTTTTTCTCCTGTAAGACAGCTGTATATGAGCATCTCAGAGGTTTGGAATGTCAGAATAAGCCTGGGGGAGAACTGGTGGGAAGAGAACAGGTCACTCAACAATTTAGTATATGGACATCAGCATGACGTGCAAAATTTATGCTACTTATTACAGACACTGCATTTAAAGCATGTGGGTCTACAGGCTTAAGACAACCTTTACTTAGAAAATAAATAATGCAAAGTCCACTCAAATTAATGTTTTTTTTTTCTGTTAAATAGCTACATCAGTTCATATCAAGCTTCGTGTCCAGTGAATCCTTACTAAAACCCACTGCCGGAAGGACACGTGCGTTCCTTGTACCCTAGGTTGTCTGCACAGAAGAGGTCTCCACTGTCCTTAAAATGCCGGCAGCAATTTAAATCATTTACATAAACAGAAATGGTTTTACAAGTAGGATACTGAAATGTGTTTCCAAAGCTGCCCAGAACCCTCAACCATTAAAATGGACCTAACTGATGGTTTTGTGAGATTCTGATGGTGCTTTCTAGTAAGTTACTTTTACCGCTTTCGTAAGATTGTGTCTGTATCTTATACAGACACAAAAAAAGAGGATTTCTCAGCATGAGTTACTCTTCCGTAAAGGTTATAGTAAACATGTCAATGCCTAATTAAGCAGAAAATTTTATCTGTATTGTGGGGGATGTGCAGCTGTCTGGTACTTCTGCTTCTCCTGGTAAATTCTTTTAGAAGGACAAAGGATACTGTGAGGAAGAAAGTACTGTATGTATCTTCCAAAATACCTTCTGGTGAAAAATGGGTTAATAATATTCAAAGAATTGGTGCTGAAATGGAGAATCAAATTTGAACCGATCCAAACCTCTGTGAATGCTGTTTGTTGTCTGTTTTGTCTGATTCCTTCACTGGATTCCCTCCTTATTTTTGTTTTGCTGGGTGTAATATGCCTGGCACTGTGATACATCCTGGCAAGGGGCCAGCATCGCTACCTACGCTGTACAGTGTCTCTAACACCGTGAGAACCATGTCAGGCCCGCTCATCAGTTCGTGCTGCTTGTTTAACAAGGTTACTACTCATGACGTGTAGGAGCTTTTGCCGCCTCCATGTCCCTCTGTTCTCCTTGGTCCCTGAAAAACGTACGAGCTCAGAAAGGGGCTGATGGAAAGTACCGTCTGGTTACTGGGGAAAAAGTTTAGGGAGGAGAAAAAATCTTTTGTTCTGTGTTGTCTTTGCTGCTTGCCTCAGTCTGGTCACCTGTAAACAGGGTTCTAGTATTTGCTGTGCCCCAACCCACTACTAAAAAGCTTACTTTTTAGTATTTAACACTTCAGTATTATTTTGCTGCTTTGTTGGAAGCATCTGCTGAAGAGCACAGTGTTCCTACTGCTATGTGATTATTTTATCGTGGTAAAATACTGTCCAGGTCATTTGCTCATAGTTGCTGCCTCTGGTTGTGAAGCTGCCTGTTATCCCTGGAGTAAGCCAAGCCCAGCGCTAAGCTGATGTGCTCTGTGCAGGTCCTAAGACTATGGGAAGGACATAGGGAAGATGATTCATGCGGATTTCTTAGCCCATCTACAGAGAGTGACATCATTTCCCTCTTCTTATATTGCAGCTCCATCTGGGGAACAGTTCTAGTTCATCTCTGGCTTGATGGTATTCCTCTAGTTCTAGTTCATCTCTTTGGCTTGGTGGTAAACGTGTTGGAAGGGCTGAGATGCACATGCAAATACACTGAAAAATTAAAGCACATCTGAAAAACTTCTGGAAGGCTTTGTCCATGTGTTAATCAGAATGCTTCTACTTTTTCTGTCCATCCCTTTGATTTACTAAAAAGATATAATTTGTGCTGGAGTGTCAGATTCAAGGGAGTGAAATGAGCCAGGTTCTCAAAAAACCATAAAATGGCTTTTCTCAGAACATGGAAAGAAACTGTATTTTAAACAAGTAACACTTTTAGGCTCATTTAACTTGTGCTTTCGGAGCTCTTGGTGTTACTTCACAATTATGAATACTCAAATTTTATTTTTGCTTAGTTATTTTAAGGGCAGCTTTGATTTGTGAGTTTTAGTATATTTATCTGATACAAAAAAACTATTAAGGAAACACAGCAAAGTACTCCTGAGACTGCAGTGCAGCCACTAGGGTTAGCAGCACTGCGTTTGCACCTCACTGCAAGAGCTCGTCAGTGTATCTCCTACAAAGATCTGTGGTGCTGAAATCCACATTTAGTTTTGTTGAGTGGCTGTCAATAGCAGCGAATTGTTTCAATGTTTGCTTGCATTGTGCGTATCAGCTTTGCAGGAGCTGTTAAAAAAATTACACTGGGGTTTTGTGAAAACACCTGAACCACTCGTTCTGCTTCATCCCTTCTTGTGGGGTCTGGCAGTGGGTTGCTGACTGTGTTGTCATTGGGAATTTATCCACTAGCTGCAACAGAGCCAGTTCACCCTTAAAAATCCTCTGTCCTAAAGAGGATATCTCTGTAACTTAGGCAGTACTACTGCTAATATAAGGCCAGAAAGCAAAACAAAACTAAACCCAACAACCTGAATTCCTAAATGAATTTTAAAACTTACAGCTCTTCCAGTATCAAGTTCATTTTATTAATCAAATATTCTAATTTGTCAAAGAAAATCTTTCTGGATTTGTTCTGCTTTTTCAGTTTTACAGTTAATTTTGGTCTACCTCTGGCACGTCCTAGTGCGCTTCTGTAACTTCCAAGGGTTCTTGCCCTGAAATTTATGGATATGTTTTTACTGAAGCACAGTTTGCTTGTGTCGCAGACAGTACATCTATAAACAAAAGAGTTCCACTTATGCCTATTAGCACTTTCAGATGTTGTATTTTGACATATAAATTATTTGTGTACATTCTAAAGTGCAGTTTTAGGTGATCAAATGGCACAAGGTTACTATACCTAGATGATGCTAGGAACCAAGAAGATTATGGCAGTTATTTTTCTTCTGTTCCTTGCCAGTTCTACCCTGTCTTTCACTGAAGCTAAAAACAATTTGATAGAATTGAATCTTTTAATAAAAACTTTAAATTCTTGCACATGAATTTTCAACTGTCCCATTATGGGACAGTTAGAATTATACTCCCATGACAGCAAAATTATTAACTCAGAATCTCTGGCAGTTATAAAGAATTATGATTGTCTGCCAGCAAGATACAGCAGCCTTCACAAAAAGAGGCATCATTTGGACTTTTTCACTTCCAGAACTAGCAGTCAATAAAGTTGTAGATTAAAGAAAGTCCAGTAAAGAAAACACATAGTGAAACTAGGAAGCTTGGAATGTAGTATTCTTCTTTAACAAGTTATTTCATATATTGATATTACATTTCAGGTTATGTCCAAGAGGAAGATTTAAAGGAAGAGGAAGATATAAAGGAGGAGGAAGAAGATGATGATGACAACAATTCAACTGCTCAGCTCCAGGGCAGCAATGACACTGGCACGGATGAGGAACATGAAGCGGGTCCTGAGCAGAAAGGGAACTTCAGTTACCAGAATTCCCCTGTCAGTCATGTATCTAACCAGGATGCTGAAAACGAATCACTACTAAGTGACGGTAGTGACCATGTGGCAGATATTAAAAGTATTTGCTCTAGAGAGCCACAGGACCCCAAAACCAGCAGCCATCCCAAAACCCAGAATGAAGCACACAATTGCATGGATAAAATGACAGCGGTCTATGCCAACATACTGTCGGACTCTTATTGGACAGGCTTAGGGCTGGGTTTCAAATTGTCTAACTCTGAAAAGAGGAGTTGTGACAACAGAAATGGAGGGAACAAAGCTGATTTTGATTGGCACCAAGATGCACTGTCCAAAAGCTTACAGCAGAATTTACCTTCCAGACCTGTCTCAAAACCCAACCTGTTCAGCTCAGTCCAGCTCTACAGGCAGAGCAGCAAAATGTGTGGAACTGTGTTCACGGGTGCCAGCCGGTTTCGGTGCCGGCAGTGCAGTGCTGCCTACGACACTCTGGTAGAACTGACAGTTCATATGAATGAGACAGGTCACTACCAAGATGACAACCATAAAAAGGACAAGCACAGACCTACCAGCTATTCAAAGCCCCGAAAAAGGGCTTTCCAGGACATGGACAAGGAAGATGCACAAAAAGTTCTGAAATGTATGTTCTGTGGTGACTCTTTCGATTCCCTTCAAGACCTGAGTGTTCATATGATAAAAACAAAACATTACCAAAAAGTGCCTTTGAAGGAGCCGGTACCAACCATTTCTTCAAAACTGGTCACTCCAGCAAAGAAACGTGTGTTTGATGTTAACAGGCCTTGTTCCCCCGATTCCACGACGGGGTCTTTCTCAGATACTTTTTCTCCTCAGAAGAATGCGAACCTGCAGTTATCATCTAACAACCGCTATGGCTACCAGAATGGTGCCAGCTATACGTGGCAGTTCGAGGCCTGCAAATCCCAGATTTTGAAGTGTATGGAATGTGGAAGTTCCCATGATACCTTGCAGCAGCTCACAACCCACATGATGGTCACTGGACATTTTTTGAAAGTCACAAGTTCAGCTTCAAAGAAAGGAAAGCAACTTGTTCTGGATCCTTTAGCTGTGGAAAAAATGCAATCACTGTCTGAAACACCTGCCAGTGACAGCCCGGTTTCAAAATCAACGAGTAAATCATCTGCAGAGTGCATAGCTCCCACCTCTGAACTAAAAAAAGAAAGTAAAAAAGATAAAGCTGATGATGCAAACAAAGATGAGAAAGCAGTAAAAACTGAGGAGTATGAAGACGCTCTACAGAAATCACTGGATCCGACAATGAAATACCAGTACCTCAGAGAAGAAGATTTAGAAGATGGTTCAAAGGGTGGTGGGGACATTTTAAAGTCCTTGGAGAACACTGTCACAACAGCCATCAATAAAGCTCAAAATGGAGCTCCTAGCTGGAGTGCATATCCCAGCATCCATGCAGCTTATCAGCTCTCAGAAGGAGCTAAGCCATCTTTGCCTGTGGGTTCCCAAGTACTGCAAATCAGGCCAACTATCACCAATAAACTGAGGCCCATAGCTCCGAAGTGGAAGGTCATGCCTCTGGTCCCTATCTCAGCAAATGTGGCCCAGTGCACTCAAGTGAAGAAGGAAACTGATGACAAGGAGGAGGTACAAAAGGACTATGCTAAAGAGAGTATCCAAGCTGAGCCTGCCTCAGTCAACCAGAGCGAGAGAGAACCTCTCCTCAAATCTGAAGCCTCTGTGGAGCCAAAAAAGACAGAACCATGTCCCTTGAAAGAAGAAGACAAAATTAAAGAGGACAGTGGAAAAGAAAAAACACTCCTCAAGGAAACAACAGTAGCTTCCCTTAGTAATGGTTGTGCTGCTGCCAACCATTCGTCAGACCTGCCGTGTGTCAACCCCCTCAGTGCGCTGCAGTCAGTGCTGAATAACCACTTGGGCAAAGCCACTGAGCCTTTACAGCCTCAATCCAGCTGCAGCCCCAGCTCTAGCACAATTTCTATGTTCCACAAAAGTAATCTAAATATGATGGAGAAGCCAGTTTTATCTCCAGCTCCAACACCACCAAAGCCTGCAAGTGTATCCAGGCACTATTTATTTGAAAACAATGATCAGCCTATTGACCTGACCAAATCCAAAGGCAAGAAAGCTGAGTCACCTCAAGCACAATCTTGTACTTCTCCACCTCAAAAACATGCTCTGTCCGACATCGCTGACATGGTCAAAGTTCTTCCCAAAGCTACTACACCAAAACCTGCGGCATCTTCTAGGATCCCATCTATGAAATTGGAAATAGATGTCCGACGCTTTGAGGATGTCTCAACAGAAGTCTCCACTCTGCATAAAAGGAAGGGCAGACAGTCAAACTGGAATCCTCAACATCTTCTCATTTTGCAAGCTCAGTTTGCTTCCAGCCTCTTCCAGACATCTGAAGGTAAATATTTATTATCAGACCTAGGCCCACAAGAGCGCATGCAGATTTCCAAATTTACTGGACTGTCAATGACCACCATCAGCCACTGGTTGGCAAATGTCAAGTATCAACTTAGGAAAACCGGAGGAACAAAGTTCTTGAAAAACATGGACAAAGGACATCCAGTCTTTTATTGCAGCGACTGTGCATCTCAGTTTCGAACCCCATCTACTTACATTAGCCACTTAGAATCTCACCTAGGTTTCCAAATGAAAGACATGAACAGGCTGGCTGTGGAGCAGCAAACCAAGGTAGAGCAAGAAATCTCCAGAGTTTCAGTTCAAAGATCTCCTGAAACAATAGCTGGAGAAGAGGACACAGACTCTAAGTTCAAATGTAAGTTGTGCTGTCGGACATTTGCGAGCAAACATGCAGTAAAACTTCATCTAAGCAAAACACACAGCAAGTCACCAGAACACCATTCACAATTTGTAGCAGAAGTGGATGAAGAATAACTCTTAAGGTATGCATGCTCTATAGCGAGTTTTAATTTCATCATTTTAAGGAGGCTTCGTAAGACATTTGTACTTTCTTAAATGCAGGAAAACAGTATAAAATGCATAATGTACTCCTGCTTCATTCATCTAATTGCATGTACATATCCATTTTATGATGTTTTCAAGAAGAGAGCTTGGTAAATGCATAACCACATTGCCCTAAATAGAGAAGCTGCTTCTTATTAGTATTTTCAAAATAGCTGTTTTCCCAGGTCTCACTCTCCTTTTTGTTTCTAAGAATTTGTTTTCACATCCTATGCACTTCAGCACAGAATGCAACAATTAAATGCTACTCTTTGCAATAAGAATGGAAAATGTGGGGAAAAAAAGCACTGAAAACCAAAAGGCTATTAACCCTTTCAGTGCTAACACACCAGTAAATCTGATTTTGATAGGAGAAAAGACAACTCAAATGTCAAATTAGCAAAATCTTAATTATTCTGAGTTTCTCATAATCTCACACCCAGCCCCAAGAACCTACAAAGAACTCTGAAAAGTTAATGTCTAGAAGTTCAGTTATGCTTTTGTTGATTAATTGGAGATTCAGTTTTGTAAAATATTCTCATATTTTACATGTACTTAAACACTTACTATTGTGAGTGGCCTTTTTTGTCGCATCATTTTAACCCATCTCTCCATCATTCCTTTTTTAATCTTTTGAGATGTTTGACTATATTTTATTTCATGTTGGTGGGAGCACTTGTCAATCCATAAACGTCCCTGACTCCAGTGCAAGTTCTTGTGTAACCTGGGGGGGGGTGTTAATGCTTAACTGAGAAAGCAGATATTTTTTTTACAAGCTTAATATTTCAAAGACCTGTATGTAGGATACTTCTACGTTAGTGTTGCTATTTTTTTGCTGCAAGATACACCAATTGCCACAACCAATGTTTATAACATGTAATGTAATATTCAAATGACACACAGTTTTTGCATTTTTAATTTTACTTGATTCACAAACTTGAATATTCTTGATTTAAATAAATATGCAGAACGTCAACTAAAAAGTCCAAATAGAAGTTTTTTTCTTCTAATGAGTTTATTTCCAGGAAGACTCTGTTAGTCATTCCCAACAATTTCTCCAGCAGACTCAGACTCTGCTTCTCCTCACAAAATAATCATGTGCAGATTCAGATTTTCTCCAGTGTGTTCATTACTTGAATAACATTTGGGAAATGAATTTGTCAGACAGTCAAAATTAAAGACGTGTTGTGAGTTGTCACTTACGCCACCTGCTATTGTGGCTATTCTCTGGCTAATTGAGGGTGCAGCACTTTGAGGCTGAATACCCGTTTGTGTGAAGATTTCACATTTGTTTGCTGCAAATATTCATGAAGCTTTAGAAACACTTTCTGTGTACAGAGCCGGCACAAGGACTATGCGTCACTTAGGCTCCATTAAAAAGGCTACTTTTGAATAATTTAAGCCACTAATCAAAGGGTTACTTTGGGATGGGTAATAGAAGCTATTACTATAGAGTATAACGTCAGTATTTGAGTGCAGTAAGATTTAAGTTTTGCATACATCTTGTACGTGCTGTCTGCATTTGACTAGATTTATGCTTTCTGCATATTTTAGCCAGCAAAATTCTGTCTAACTCAGAAAGAGTTTGTTTTCTAAATAGGGCTAATACCTGTAAGTTTCTATTTTGGAATTTTTAACCTAACATTGAAACTCAATTATTGTTCTTTGTTTTTTTTTGACCGCTCAAAATCAACATACCTGACAAAATATCAGCAGACTATAAGAGACTGGTTAGGAAAAATATACCATACTTTGTTTCCTTTGCCATCAGTTAACGATTATTGAGACTCTGACATTCATAGTTTTCACACAAGAGATATTAGAGCAAACCAATAATTTGGGTACTATCAAACAAAAGCTATCTGCCAAATATATTAATGTAACAGTTATTTTGGCACATTCATGGCTTAATACATGACAAATGTTTCTGATTTGGTCTTAAAAGCACCGTATTATTACAAAGAGGCAAACCAAACACCCACCTTTATAAACACGTTACTATTTCTGAGGATTTGGGGAACAAATACAAAGGAAAAAAAATCTCCAAGGGGGAAAAAAAAAAAAAAAAAGAAAGAGGTTTCTGCATTTCAAAAACCTGCACAAGCACATTGTGGGTTTTATTCAGGTGATATGTAACTACATAAATAAGGTAGTGTCCTTCCTGCCTTTGGGTGCAGAGAAATTGCTGTCCTCTTAATACTCATCCATTTCTAATTTATATCAAGATGCAGGTTGTATCTTACCTTTGAAAAAATATGTTTAAATTGCAATGACAGAGTGATAGCACTGTTATCTGGAACTATAATTTTAGTTGGTATGCATCATAGCACAAATTGTTTGAAATGATGGGGTATTTTGGATAGCATTGTAAAGATTTTATTACACTTTTAGAGCCGTAAGCCTACTGAAGTTCTGACTGTGTAAGAAGTGTGGAGGCCAGAGCTTATTCATATGGTTTCTCCCCGAGATCTGCAAGGAGACTAGATCAAATAACAGGGATTTTCAGGGTTTAATTATTCTTACCATGTTATTTTGAAGATCGAGTATACATTTGAGCAATAACATAGAGGAGAGTGCAGTATTTAGAGACAAGATATATAAAGTATACTGAGATTCTTAAAATGCGCACATACATTTGTGTTTACTTCTAGGCATCATTGTAGTGAAATAGAAATAAAAATAGAGAAAATATATGGAAATAAATGGAAATAAACCAGTGGAAAGAATACTCAAAGCACAGAAATACATAAAATACTTTCTGTATTTTGATGACATTTACTATTAAAGGTTATATTTTAAAATGTTAGCTGTCATTAAAAATATACATGAATAATCTGCATTAGTACTCTAGAAAAATGTGTTATGTTTATAGATTTATTTTTAAGACCTCTGTGAGGCTGTTTATAAGAAATTTGCTATAAATTCTTCTTAAGTGTAAAGACATATATATCTGCTTTATATTTATCTTTGGTGTTTTCCTGAATTCTAACTGATATGGCTTTAGTAATACAATGTAAGATTTGTGTCATATAAAACAATCAGATGTCTCTATTCTCTTTCATTTAACCTGCTTCAAACTCGTTTTTTATTGCTATTCTTCAAAGAAAACCCTGGAACATTAAGGAACATGGGTTTAATTAGAAGTAATTTGTTTGTTAACTTATACCTTTGAAGAACGTTTGTTCATTTTTTCCAACGAAATTAGAATTTTTATGTTGTCCTGTGAAGAAAAAAACCTGACAAGGCAGAATCGTATTTCTCATTTTCAAGTCAGGTGGTGCTGGCTATAAACAGGTCAGTAACTGAGGCTCTCTCCTGTCTTATCTACAACTTCTTGTAGAAATGAGTCTCTATAGACTCAAATTATGAACTTAATTGGGGAGATTTCTTTTACAAAAGACCCTGCTAAGTAAACAAGCAGCTACCTGAGATGAACTAATTTGAAAGTAAGGCTGCTGCAAAACAAAAAAATGAGTCATAATGATAAACAGTTTTTCTCTCTGTCTCCTCCTTTGTCTTTTTTTAACCATCAAGTTTAAAGCTTCTACAGTGCTTTTTTTCTACTTATAGGAGACAACTGACATTCTGTGGTAAATGGAAGAAAGAGCAGAGCAGAACTGAAAATCCTCTAATGCACTGACACTAACTTGCCCTCTATTGTTGAAAATGAGCAGGCAATCATGATTGTTCATCAAATGGCTCCTAATGCAGTTAAAGCATTCAGCTATAATTTCTCCTTGCATTTATAATTACTGTCATAGACTGCACACCTCAGTGAGCAGATTAAAGCTATAAACTATTTAGCCGTAGCTTTAAGATGAGGAACTTGATTTGTCTGGCAGCAGTTATTTGTTAGAGAGCTTGACACTTCACATAAAAATGACTCAACTTGATGAAGAACAATGCAGTTTAAGCAATGCAGTGATTTTAAATCAGTCATTATACCACGCCCTGTAAGAATTGCAAAGCAATTTGTTAAATGATATATAGGACTCGTAGATAACTGTATGTGTTAAGTATACCAAAATAGAAGATTTTTTTCTTCTGTGGATTTTATTTTCTCATCACTCTGAAACAGTAGGAGCTGCTCTGAACATCATGTTCCACTATTAGCCAATATAGGCATTAACATGGGCAAGGACAATTGTGTGAATTAGTAGTCCCAAACCATGTTTTAGAGAATTTAGCTTGCTCTTCATCTTTCATTTCTTCTTAGCAACAAACATTAACAACTAAGGGACCCTTTCAGGAGAATCAGACATGCTGGGACGCAGCTGCCTGCAGTTGTGTCCACCACAACTTGTAAGCAGAATTTACCAGCAAAACTGAGGGTTCTGCTCACCATGTCATCAGCCAGAAAGAGAAGGTTCATTGCAATGAGAGCTATGATTGTTCAGTTTGAATGGGACTTTTCTGACATCATCGTGTTGGAAAATGACTTCTTAATGGTAAAAAAAAAAAAATCAGTGAGGAAGTCCTATTTTAAAACAGACTTTTGTTAGGATAAAGTAGTTAAAATAGCTGAGCATCATGAAGGAAAGAAGAGGAGACAGGGGAAAGGTCTTTCACCTGTGCTGGAAGGGAGACACAGAGCCCATCCTCAACAAGGAACTACCTCCAACTTATCACTCCTCTCTCAAAATAGTCCTATTCTGATGAAGCCTCAGCTCTCTATATCTGAAATCTACCACTGTTTCCCCAGTGTTAGATTGGGACTTATTTATTTATTTAATTTAATTTAGCATTTTTAAATCTTCAACGTTTTCCTGGACAGCATTTTTTCAATCTAGCAACACTCCTTTTAAAACCAATGATATTGTGCTCTTGGCTTCCTTGAGAGCAGGATCAGGCCAGTTGATACATCAGAGTGTGTCAGCACAGATATATCAGTGTAGATCTACTTGCTTTTTATGAATAGTACAGGTTGCTATTAAGATCAGTA